GTTACCAAGGCAAGTAACAGATACATCCGAAAAGCCCTTCCCCACACGCCTCTAACTAACTCACTGCTGCGACGCACTGCGGCAATCGCCACCTGATGCTCGATGATGATACTCTGGTTGTAGAGACTCCAGTTCACACCGAAATAAAATGACGATGATCATAATCAGGCAAAGCCCTAAACAAAGGCTTGAGCCATAAGGGGAGGCAGGTATATCAGGAATCAGCCCTGATGTAAGAAACATAAAGGCAAAAAAACCTACTAACACAAGTAACCATAACAGAAACGACGCGCTTAAAATAGATAGGGCTTCACCGCGGGCAGTCCGCCAAACACGCTGTGCCGTGACCTTTACACCGCGATAATACTGTACTACAGCAAAAGCAAGTGGACACATCGCTAACCATAGCCAACCGATACTGAAGGTATGGAAACGGAAAATCATCCCCCAATAGATACCTGTTAATTTCGGGTGTTTGCCTACAGACATACCGCGTGCTGTGTCAAAATGCCATAAATCCTCCGGACCGAAAAAACTTTCCGAAAAACTCACTGCAACATCAAATAGGAAACTGAAGATGATAAACGGCAGCATGATCCGCCAAAGAAGCCCGAAGTTGTCCCGATAGCACTGAAACATCGTTGAAATGAGCCTCGGTTGTTGCGTCGGCACCTTAGGGGTGTCCATGTTTTCCATTACATCTGCCATTTTCTATTCTCCTTGGCGCGTCGCCATCACCTCAATATCAAACCCCTCTTTCCGAATACGCTGATCAAAGTAGAGAAGTGTACCACCAATCACCCAGATCGGCATCGTAACCGCATCAACACCTAAGTTGATAAGGTGCATCAACACGTTAGAAAGGTTGAGATCAGATTGATTTGTCGGGAGTTGAAAAAACGCCATCCACTGAACTGTTCCAAAAAACTCCTGTATATCGGCAAGTTCGGCTAAAGTTAACAGGATTCCGAAAGCAAATACGGAAGATAAAACTAATACTGAAATGTAACAGAAAAATCGCGAGCATGATGCCAATGACCCGACACCACGTGCGACTGAGCAATTCAGGTCTACGTCCAAATCCATCCCATATTGATTTATTCTCTACTAAAACCGTAGCAGCGAGAAAACACCAACAGGTTACAAAACAAACTGCAGCACAAACCATGACAAGTAAAATTACCAAGCCAGAAATAGCGGTTAAGAATTCATTCCGTCTAAAAACATTCAACATTCCAGCCAGTGGTAGGACGATAATAAATGTTGAAATGACTGCAAGCAATCCGTATATAAGCAGACCGACGCAACACCGAAAAAATTGCCGTTTCGCTTGCTTCAGCACCGTCCATGTTCTAATCTTCCCGTCTAAATAGGCTTGCGCACTCGCAAATACAAGCGCACTTACTACGAAAACAGAAACACAAAGGATAACACCAATAGTAAGAAGCCAGATCACTGTTTTCGTGTTTTTTTCAATCCAGTCATCAAAAAAAGAAATTGACACACCGATGACCATCACAATGAAATAACCAGAGGCTATCCCAAGAAACGACCAGAAATGCGCACGATAGAGGCTGAACGCCGTATCCAGAAGCTCGCCAAACCCCATCGCACGTAGTTTTCGGAGTCCCTTATTCGTTTGGGATGGATCCGTTTGTTCTGGCATGGCGATTTCCTTAACTGTTTCAGGTTGTTTGCGATGTCTTAAGCGCGTAGACTTCCTCTAAAAACTTCTCATAACTCACCGAACCACTGCCGCCCATCTTTTCGATGATAGGATTGGCTATCGTCCGTGCCAACTCTGAGCGACGCAATTTGGGGAGAGTGCCCCGACGGGCAAGATACTCACGTATCACACCCAACTCGTTCTCTGTAACCAACTCAGGCCGGATCCAAGCCGCATAGTCAAATGCTTGCGGTGAAATGTTGATAGCGGGTGCCACTGCTTTTGGATTCACACCCGTAGGTTTCAAGTCCGTGCGTGCCGTTTTAACGACGAGTGTCCCCGCAGCCAAGTCCCCTAATCGCTTCCAGTTGCTGTTTAGGAGCATCGCCAGCAGACCTGACCCATAAAAGAAAGGAAGGAAATCAACCACTCGTACCAGATTACGAATCGCTGAATCCGCAAAACCGATCGGGTAGCCACCGTCTTTGATGACGCGTAAACCGAGCGCGCGTTTGCCCGGTGATTGCCCATTCGTCGTGACTTCAAACACCATATAATATCCCCAGAAAAGTGCGAAGACAAGGATACCACCCAGCGCACCGAGCCAGTTACCGAGCACGTCCCCAAGTTCCATTATAAAATTTCGGTTGACGTAATATCCGACAAAGAGGATAAGCGCGAGCAGTCCGGTATCAATGAGTGCCGCATAGAAGCGCGACCCGATACCCGCCTTTTGGAAACTAATGTCAATCTGTTCTGGTGTTTCTATGGATAATTGTTCGTTCATGTGTCGGAGGAAGTCTCCTTATCAAGTTAAAAGGCTTGATTTTTCATGTAAAATGGAGTTTAATTATGTAGTGGATTTCCACATACCTCTTGTAGAACGGATATCCGAATCCCAACACTCCAAAATCTGAGATTCAGACGAATAATAGTCATTCTAACTGAAAACCGAAAACTATCCGCTGAAAACTGATAACCGATAACTGAAACTCCAGTAAATTCAACATGACAATCACAGAATTCATTACAAAAAAACAGCAGATCTGGAACGAACTCGAAGCACTGCTTAACCGTCCACGAGATGCGAATGCAACACACTCAATCGACTCGGCTATCTATATCGGCGTGTCACATCCGATTTAGCAGTAGCACGCCGCGATTTCCCACAGGACCGGTGTGTCCCATATCTCAACGAACTCGCATCACGCGCACACGCCACGGGTTTACCAGACCTCCCCCTTCAAGCGAGGCAACCTCCGACAGTTCCTTCACTTCGGCTTCCCGACACTGTTTCGCGAAAATCTCAGTTTCATCGGGGCATCGTTCCTGATGTTTGCCCTCGCTTTTGCAGCAGCATATTGGATTGGCCTGACGACTCCCGAATTCGCGGAAAAACTCATCCCCGAAGACACCGTATCCCATATTAAGAAGTTAGAGGACGGCACGTGGAACGACACGTCAGCGGAAAACAGAAATCTATTCGCTTCCTTCGTGATGACGAATAACATCAAAGTCGCTTTTTTCGCCTTCGCGTGGGGTATCATGTTCATGGTAGGCACTGCTTATATTTTAGTCATCAACGGTATTGTCATCGGTGCGGTTGCGGGGTTGTGTGATGTTAACGGTGTCGGGCTGGCACTCTGGTCTTTTGTATCACCGCACGGTTACATTGAACTCACCACGATCTTTATTGCAGGCGGTGCCGGATTAAAGTTAGGATACTCACTCATCGCACCGTCACTCTTTACGCGGAAACGCGCTTTGACGGATGCGGCCGGTGTCGCTATCCGGCTGCTCGCCGGGTGTGTTGCCCTGCTCATCGTTGCGGGGACCATAGAAGGCTTTGTTTCACCTTCCGGTTTAGCACCCAACGTCAAAATCGGGTTCGGTGCCGTGACAGGCATTTTGCTGTTTACCTACCTCTTCGCAATGAAAGCACCTGACGCTGATACATCCTCTACTAAATTCTCGACTTCGCCTTGAGCTCCAGATACTTATTCACCACCGCCATTGTCAACTGGTGCGCTGGCACATCAATCGTGATAACACCTTGACGGCGTAGAATTTCCAACGTCGCGTGCTTCTCCTGCAATAACCGCTCGGCAATCGCTTTCTGATAGACCGATTTGGAATCTTTGGTCCCCTGCTCCGCTAATTCCACAATGCCGGAATTCGTCAAGGTCACGCAGGCAACGAGATGATGTTTGGAAAGTTGCGAGACATAAGCGGCGATCCCTTCAGCAGAATCACTGTCTAAAATGTCCGTAAAAAGAATAATGAGGGCGCGCCTGCGCTGTTTTGAAGCGAGATATTTGAACGCTTCCACAAAGTCCGGCTCAACCGGGTGAACAGGTAGCGCGTAGATGGTTTCTAACATCGTCAGAAACTGCTTCTTACCCGGTTTCGGTGCGAGATATTGGTGAACCCTATCCGCAAAAGCGATCAATCCGACTTTATCACCCTTCAGCATTGAGACGTAAGCAGTCATCAAAGTTGTATTGATAGCGTAATCCAATTTAAGCACGCCTTGTGTAGTCCGATTCTTCAGCGATTGTGCAGTGTGGGACGTGCTTTCTAAAAGAATCGGTGATGCCATGAGCCTACCCGTATCCAACATAATCACTATATCTTGGCTCCGCTCCGTCTCAAATTCTCGGACAATCGGTTTGCGTTGACGGGCAGTCGCGTTCCAATCAATGCGGCGGAAATCGTCGTCTGGTGAGTATTCACGCAGCCGTTCCATCTCCGTGCCTTCCCCGAATTGACGGGAAGTTTTGAGCCCGATTTGGTGAAGCATACCGCGCTTTACTAAGAGTTCATACTGCCGTACCGCCTGTAGATTCGGATAAACCTTTATCTCCGCCGATGCGGGAATACGTCGTCGACGAACAATCAGCCCTAAAGCACCCCAACACTGCAGATGAATATCCACGAACTGGTAAATCCCTCGCCGTAACGGTGTGAGACGATACGATATATCCGCATGATGCATCGGCGACACATGGCAGTCATGGAGTACCGCCTCATACAAAAACTCGTCCGGAAAGTCGTCTTTGATACGCAGTCTTAGTTGATGGCGAGAGCGGTTGATAACCTTCAGCGTCACAACGTTCTCCACCCCCAACGAGAACTTGGAATTCATCTCACGACTTATCTCAACCCTTCCAAACAACGGATTGGTAAGGTAATCTATCGCACAGACGACGAACAACAGCACCAGATAGGCACCACCGACGAATAGCAGGCTCGGTGAGACGTTGTAAAGCACAATCGGGATCGCTACTGGAAGCAGGAAAATGAGGAAGACGGTTGCTAAAATGCATCTTTGTACCTAACGCGGAATTTCTGCCTCTGCGAGGAGCCGATCAATTACATCGTCTGGCGTTAATCCTTCAATTTCGGCATCCGGTTTCAGCAGGATGCGATGACGATAGACATGCGGTGCCAATAATTTAACATCATCAGGCAGGATATAGTCTCGTCCCTGAAGCGCAGCGTAGGTTTTGCTCGCCAATAAGAGTGCGATCGAAGCGCGCGGGCTACCGCCCAACACTAACTCATCAGAATTACGCGATGCCTCCGCTAAACCGACAATATAATTGAAGATCGAATCCTCTACGGTCACCGTTTGGATTTCTTTCTGACACTCCTGAAGCGACGCGCTATCAATCACACTTTCGATCCCTACTGCTTCCAATTGGGTGGCGTTGAACCCCTGGTGATAGTTCATCAAAATCTGTGTTTCTACCTCGGCAGCGGGGTAATCGACACGTAATTTGAACAGAAATCGGTCAAGTTGCGCCTCCGGGAGCGGGTAGGTGCCTTCATATTCAATAGGGTTTTGTGTCGCTACTATCATAAACGGTGGCGATAACACATGACGGACACCGTCAATGCTCACCTGCCGCTCCTCCATACATTCTAAGAGTGCAGATTGCGTCTTAGCAGGCGCGCGGTTGATCTCGTCAGCGAGCAATACATTCGTGAAAACGGGACCGCGCTTTAGATTAAATTGGTTCGTCGTCAAATCATAGACGCTGGTACCAACAATATCTGACGGCATCAGGTCTGGCGTAAACTGTACACGACTGAATTCCCCGGAAACTACCATCGCTAACGTCTTGGCGATAAGTGTTTTCGCGGTCCCAGGGACACCTTCTAACAATACATGTCCGCCTGAAAACAGACTGACCACCACAAGCTCAAAGAGTTCTGTCTGTCCGACAATAACTTTCTGTGCCTCCTGCCTCATTTTCTCAAAAACTGTTTGAATGAGATTGCTCATATATTAAAGTGCCTTTTCACAAGAGCGAGGTTAGAAACCTCGCCAGCAGATGCGGGGTGGAATTTTGAATGAGATTGCTCATATATTAAAGTGCCTTTTCACGGAAGGAGGTTGCAAACCTCTCATCAAAGGAGTACAATAGGACTTACGCAGCAAGCATCTGTTTGCCGAGGTCCCCGTGCCTCGGCGACCTTTCTTTTCACGGTTTCGCTTGCAGCATCCGAAGCGTCCGCTTTCTTCCCAAATGGCGTTTGCGTAAGTCCTAAGGAGTACAATAGGACTTACGCAATGGACGTTCTTTGCTACTATGTTCCGCAGGATGGCTTCGGAGACCTTCGTGCCCTGCGTGAATTCAGGTTCGGACGGGTACAGAGACCCATCCGAACAGCGTTTTGATGCGTAAGTCCTATTGTTGATAATGGAATACCAACAGTTGGCCGCTGATGGCTTTAATTTAGAAACCTCGACCAACACTCAATTTTGTCCTGCCGATCTTCGCGATTTCACGGTAAGTCTCAACGCGCTGCGCAATGTCAAGCAACCGTGCCTCTGATATGTTCGCAGACAGATCCAAGTCCGTCATCAGGTTTGTGAGCTCACTGTCTTCATCAACAGCACCGCGCAGTGCCAATTCCTCCAAAAAGGTCGCTGTCCCCAAATTCGGGTTAACACGCCAACGGACACCAAGGTCAGCCTTGAACCTCTCACGAATGTGCCTCAAAACCTCCATGCGCGTATTGCCCTTTTGATATAGAGCCGTCATCGCGTGGACGTATTCGGCACTCAAACGTCTATTTTTTTCCTGTGCATCCAAAGGCTTGCCGAACCGCCGACCCCGCAGTACCAAAAACAAGAAAAGCGTCAGGCAGATATAAACTGCACCCAATCCCCCTGGTGTTCTGAACACGAATGCAATAAACGGATTCGGAGGCTTTCGTTTCAAGCGTGTAGTATCTTCTGTCAGCGAGACCGATTCGCGCGTTACGTGGGAGTGTTGACATCAAATTGTAGAGGAACGCAGCATTACCACCATGCTGCAGCCCGATTCTCGTGAACAGATAATCGGACGCAATAAAGTAGGCGCGTCCGTCCCCATCGCGCAGCGTTACAATCGTCGCATCGTCCTCTCTACCGTAAAGCACAGCGGCTTCACGTCCTATAACTTCAATAACAAAATCTGTACGCGTACGAACGTCGTCAACCGGATGCTGTGGAAACAGGGGTGCTTCTGGAATTCGTTGTGAGAATTCCAACCGATCTGTTAATTCTTGTAGTTCTAAACCGTAAGCCGAGAAAAGACCGTCCAACACTTTATTGTTCCCAGCCACGATTAAGGTGCCTCCAGTGTTGACGAAATCTTGGATGTCCCGAACCTCCTTTTCTGTAGGTGCCTTGTCAATGGCTTGCAGGAACAACACATCGTACCTATCCAGACGCGCGGATACTCTGCCGATATTTCTGTGACGCGGAACTTTAACTTCTGCAAAATTTGGTAAAGCACAGGACCATATCCGAGTGAATCACACGAATTCAGGAAACAGGCAAAGGTAATTAAAATAATACTGAAAATAGACGTTCGGACAATTCGCATTTTCGCCTTCGGCTGTGAGGTAGTGATAAATTTAGTGCCTCACATAGACATTTTTTAACAGGTTTCGGTAACTCGCCACAGTCTCCGCGTCACACGGTTTGTGTCCGTACCACACTTCATCAAAAACGGTAATCGCAGGTCCGAGCGCAGTGTGCAGGTCAATATCCGCTTGCGCTTGGTGGAGGTACTCACGATTGGTGAGACTCTTATCGTAAGGGAGTACCCCGCGTTCTTGGAGGTGAAAAATCGCGGAAAGATAGAGGAAACGGAGTGCCCCGCGAAAGTCGCTTGCCGCCTCCGCTGTCTCTGCGCGTGTGAGCGCAGCCCTTTCTGTTTCCACCTGTTCTAACGCAGCTTCTGTAACATCATCGTGCGCTTCGCTAATCAGATTCATCCGATTTGTCGAACAAAAAAGATGACCACTGCTCCCAGCGCGATGGCTGCAAGCGGAAATAGCACGTATCTCAGATCAGCATCCCATCTCCGAGGATTAAGGATCTTCTCCAAATCGTCTCGGTATTTCTCGTAAGATACCTCCGTCCCCGAACGGCGTGTCTCCAATTCTTCGCGGAGTGCCTTTTCCTCTGCTACCGATATTGTCAAGAGGGCAAAAAGACTCACAAAGCACACTATCATACAAATACCGATTCTTTTTTGCACAGTTACACTGCCTCTTTTGTAGCGTCTACTCGTTCAAAATAGAGATGTGTCGTTAAAATTGCCCATATCGGCACCAAAAAGGTAGTGATCAATCCGCTCACAACAAAGATCGCTACCATGACGGGAGCACTCAATAACTCTGGCAACACGACCTGAACATCACTACCGATGAAGAGGCTTAGGAATATTAACGGCGACAACGCCTCGCGAACAAGGACGAGTTCCGGGATGAACACAGACAATACTAACAACGCAGCACCGAACAATACAGACGCAATGACCGAGGCTATCCAGCCTGTCAGAAGATAGATCCCGAAAAACCGCCATCTTGCGCCACTCACTAACGCGTGGCTCCGGCGAAAAGCACCTATGATAGACCTGTTTTCAAAGATGATGCCCAAATTGTAAAGACTCATCGTCGCCATAAAATAAAACTGGGGACACATAAATAAAACCCAAACGAGAAAGAACAGAATGGTCCAGAATTCGATAGACATTCTACCAATCAACGGACGCATTAGCTGGAAAATCATGTCACCAAAATTATCACCAGCTTTGTCAATCCCAAATATAATCAGGACAAATAACACGGAGGCACCCAATACCATCAATGCCTTCCGCCGAGTCTGTCGCCACGCTTCACGCGCGGTGATCGGAACCAAATCCTGCACAACAGAAGAGCCCTCTGATCCACGTGATATGCAAGCCACAGCAAGAGATAACGGGCAGAGCGTTAGCAACAGCAGGGCGAGAGAATTATAAGGACCATGAGGGACACTTCGGAAACTTAATCTCCAACGCCATGTAACCCACGCATCGTTGGTTGAACTGAAATAAGGCAGCGGCAATAGCATCCAATGTACCCCAGGCGGGTATACCGGATCTTTCATGACTTTTTCGGAAGTGTCTTCTGGCGTATCCCTTTCAGATACCAAAAACGTCGGATGAGCACCAATGCCTGTGCCAACACGACTGGTGATCTTATATTCTTCTTTGTCAAGTCGATCACTAAAGGATGACCAACGCCAGAAAAATATGGTAATACTTAAGGGGATAGCAACAATAGCAACCGGTAACATGATACGCCAGAACAATCCCCAATGCTCCCGATACTGTGTGAAAATCGTTCTTGCAAGATTCGCGCGTCGGTTGTCAGCCACTCTGATTTCCCTCAAGGTGTTTTTGGAAGGTGTATGTGCAAATTCTTAATTTGTTACCTGCATCTCAATATCAAAAGCCTCTTTCCGAATCCGGAGGTCAAAGTAGAGCAACGCATAACCAATAACGCCAATCGGCATCGTGAGAGCAGCGATGACTAATGAACCTAAAGCGCGAATTGTATAATAAACCCATCCTATATCAATTGGAGTCGGCATAAATAAAAAGGCGAAGCGTCTCCAAAAAATTACCGTCCTCTGCTCCGGTACCACCTGCTAATGAAGAAAAAATAATGGCGTAAGAGGTCTGCAGTATAAACGCTATCATCAAAGCGATCAGAGAAATCGCTAACAGTTATCCCAAACACTCGCCACCAAGTGCCTTTAACCAATTCCGTACTACGTCGCAACGCATTCCTGGCTGTAGTCTCCTCAAACAACACAGGAAACGTATAGAGACCCCATCGAAACCCAAAATAGATTGCGAATGGGATACCAATAATCGTTACAAATTGATAAGCATATTACAACTAAATAGTAGAGAAATGTACTGCCGAGAAACGGCAAAAAACGTCGCCATGCTTGTCGCAAGGCATCTTGAGAGGTAATATCTCTGCTTAAGTACACCTGCGCGCTCGCGTAAGCCAACCCTCCAGCAACCCAATAAGCCAATAAGATACTCGCAATAGAAGTCAACACTACTATCACGATAGATGTACTCGGTGTGGCAGCAATAGCACCAAACACAGAAACAAGGCTTGTCACAAATCCCAAAACGAGATAAACAACGACGATTCCTAAAAAAAGTCGAAAGTGACTCCGATAGAGACTGAACATTCCGTCGAGGATATCAACAAGAGACATCGGTTGAAGAGGCGTAGAAGTTGTTTCACTATTATCTGACTGTACTAAATCGTTGCGTTCGTTCATTGTTCCTCCTGTTCCAAGAGCAGTTATTATATATGTTTATTCTATCACACTTAACACTTCACATCAAACCTTGTTGTAAATTATGGACCCGCATCTCAATATCAAACCCCTCTTTTCCGAATACGCAAATCGAAGTAGAGAAGCGTCACACCGATTGCATAAATCGGGAGCGTAAAGGTTTTCCGCACCGAGGTAGACAATATACATAATCAGTGTCTCCAAAGATGTAGGTCTCATGTCCTCATATCTCAAACTGAACAGATCGCCAATGGTCTCCATTACGCCACCGTCTCCAACGATTCCCAACAAGGCGAGGACGACACCAAAAGAGTTAGCAAGTATATAATACATCGCAAGGTCAAGCAGTAGAATTGCGAGGACTATCCCAAAGACTCGCCCTCCGCTCCCTTGAGTCAATGCTTTGCTCCGCTCCAGAGATTGCCGGGTTGTCCATTTCTCATTCAAAATCACTGGACCATAGAAAACCCAACCGATTAAATAATACAACACGAACGGAAAACAGAAGAGTAATAGCACAGACACCGCTATTGAAATTTTAATTGAATCCAGTGAATTGAGTGTAGAAATCAAATAGAATATTAAATAGATTAACGTTGCACCAAAGTATT